AGCGCCCTCCGCCCCTCCACCTTGGTTACATCGCCACGCACTCTTTACAGCCCAAACATATCGCGTGATTGTTTCCGCTCGGCTTTGCGGCGCGCCACGGCGGTGCTGGCGGTGCGGGCGGTGCCGGTGGGGCGGTCCGGGTGCGACGCGGCGCGACGCGGACCAGGACGCCCAAGGCCTTGCGCGCCTCGCCGCCGGTGCTGCAGTTTTATGGTCGTCGATGGTCGCCGCCCCGGCCGCCGTCTCGGTGTGCAGGCCGTGCAGGCCGTGCAGGCCGTGCCGGTTTGCAGGTGGGAGAAGTCACGTACCCGCAGTGATGTATGGCCGCCCGGCCGGCTGTCCGGCAGTGCAGGCACCAGCGGTAGCCACGGAATTAAATTCGGAAAAAGAAGAAAAAAGGAGAAAAAAAAGGCGCGGGAAAAATCGGCAGAGATTTGTCACGCGCGGGCGCCATAATGAAAATTGATTTCTAGTCTTAAGGCGGAGTGCGCTGAAAAATTACTAGGGGCACTCCTCGAAACTTGCGGGGAATTCCGGACTGTCTAAATGCATTTTCGCGGAACCATCTTGGGAAAACATGATTTGCACGTGTTAACAGAATGTGGGTATTTGAACGTCTCTCCTCAAGGTTGCCGGTCGACGGCGTTGCCAAGGGTGCTGCGCCCGCGGCCTCGGTGTTCCATGTTCGATTGCGTTGAGAGCGGCGGGTTTGGATTTCAAACTAACAACGTTGTACCCGCTGGAAAACTTTGCTGGCGCAGATTGGATTCGAACGCACGCCTACGGTTTGACGTTGCGCGCCTCTACCCACGCGGCCACGCCGAAACGCCACACTGTCGGTAGCCAGGCAGGGTGGGGGGAATACTTCTAGTGGCGCGCGCATGCACGATTTGTCCAATTCGGGATGGACGGCCACGTGTCGCGGCCGACGGGCGCAGATAGGCAACCTAGTCGTGACCGGTCGTGACGCCGATCATTTCCTGGGACCACCATGCAACCGACACTGCACTGCTACAAGTGAAGTCGGATCTGAGAAACTCAATGCCCCACAGCCTTTCTTCTATTCATTTCGGAGCCTCTTCACAGGTTCGCGTACGCAATCGTTCTGTCGGTGCGATAGAGAGGGGCCGTCCCATTGAAGGCGTTCTTTGTGGACCAGGTCACAGGGACAGCAGGGCCACGGCAGGGCCCTGCATGTTGAACCGCAAACTATCTGTTGAGCCATCCGTTGCACTGCACTGCACTGCTGGGCACACGGCAACGCTGCTAGCGGGTTGGCCAAAGCCCTGGCCAAAGCTGTTTCCCTGGAAATGTTCTTCACGGTGGCCGTGGACGGACGGAAGGCGTCGTGCGTTAAGGTCGCCGTCGACCGCCAGAAAACGAGACGACGCCGTCGATACTCCACGTGCAAGGTTCGGGAGTCTCTCGCGCACGAAGTAGTGACGGCAGTGACCGCGGGGTCGTTTGGGCGTTAAAACGTTCGTTCTTCCGAGCAGACAGGAACAAAAAACACACCGACTCGGCCGGCGTGCCACAGGCGCGCCAAAAGGCGTGCCAAAAGGCGTGCCACAGGCAAGGGCTCGAATGATACGTTCGGAACGCCACTCGGCACTCCGCGATGAGCGCAGGAATGTATCATTGCAGGGTGTTGATCGTGGCCACGGTATGGTGCAGTGAACTGGGGTCGAAGAAGCGCGGCGTGGCGTGGCGTGGCGGGGCGGGGCGTGGCGGGGCGTGGCGGGGCGTGGCGGGGCGCGGCGACCCGCGATGCAAGAGGTGCGCTTTCTCATCTCCCACTGATTATGGTTTGCAACAACGGACGGACGGATCGGCAATGCAGCGTCTAGCCGCACCGCAGGGACCAGGGGCCGTCCGTAGGTCCGCAGGGCCCGCAGCGACGGCCACACCGCCGGGACAATTCAACGATTGCAGAAAACGCGCGGCCGGTACGCGCAGGGCGCGCAGGGCTTGTCGTGGTGTACAGTGCATAAATGCCAAACGTGTCATAGGCGCCATAAACGCGGTAACTGCGTCTGACTTTGTCCAGGGTCAGCCTAGGCCGAGTGAGTGCCGCACAGTGTCTGGAGGTGGCCACAATGCTCGCCAAGTACTACTCGTTTTTTCGTGCTGGACGCGCCACGCCGCCGCCACGCCGCCGCCGCGCCGCTAGGGCCCCGTCGCCTTATTCATAAATTAAATCACATGCCGACTGGCGGCGCTGGCTGGGAGGGTCTGGCTGTCGGGGAGCTCAGCGCAGGTGGAGGGCCCCGCCAGCCCCGCCAGCCCCGCCAGAGCCCCGCCCGCCTCACCATTATCCTGGAAGGCCTCTCAGAGCTCTGTCATGGCCTCGGTGAAGGGTCCGTGCGCGTCTCCGACGGCCGGGCGCGAGGCGCGAGCGCGCACTCAGAGGTGTCGCGGAGTTGTCCAGCAAATCAGGAGTCGCTGAGTGAGTGGGTGGCGGAGCAGAACCCAAGTTCGATTCCCTGTCCGGTTCGACTTTTATTTTTCCCGCGGCGTCGTCACGTTGGCGTCACACCCGCCTCACGTCCGCGCGCTGAACCACGCCGCCTCGCCGCCACGCCCGGCGAGAAGGCGGTTGAGGCCGCGCTGAACAAGTAAAGTAAGGTCACAGTTGTAAGTGCGTCGCGGCGCTGCGGCGGGCTGCGTCGTCGGCGGCGATGTGGAGCATTCCGCCGCCTCGGACGCCACGGCGTCACGGCGCGCGGCGCGACGCAAGGGTAGGGACGCGGCACACGAGTGCACGCCCACCAGCAGGCTGACGAACGCGAGCATGGCGGTCAACATGACGGACTTGAGGGACTTGAGGCAGCGCAGTCGTTTTCGCCTTCTTGGTGCGTCACGTCGCTCCGCCGCTCGGTTTTCGGCCTTTTCGGCGCCGAATCGAGGCCGCGCCTATCTTATCCTAGCGGGCCGTGACACGCTTCTGCCGGCTGTACGGGCATTTCGCTGCTCTGTCTCTCTCGCACCCTCACGGGCCCGCACGGGGCGCGCCGTGCGTGCGAGAGAGACGGCGGTTCGCGTCAGCCTACTGGCACAGAAACACGCCGCAATTAAGCGCCACCTGATGACACCCCTGCATCTGCCTGCTGCTGCCTGGTGTGCCAGTCGTCTCAATGAAGTGGAACACTGCGCCTGCGCTGTGCTAGCACCGCGCCAGCACCGCGCCAGCACCGCGCCAGCAGACTGATTCCGAGAGTAGTTTTCGTCGCTCTGTGTCTCTCGCACTCATGGGGCGTTCGGTTTAGGTGCGAAAGAGACAGCGACGAAGACGACTCTCGGAGTCAGCCTACAGCGCCGCGCCAGCACGCCGCCGGTATGACTCTCCACTCCTGGAGGACCCCGCTCTTGTTGGCGGCGCGACGGGTGACGCAGCAGCGCTGCAGCACAGCGGCGCCGTATCCATCTTCTGATAGGATCGAGAGGGTAGCTTAGTGATTGAACGGCGTCTTTGGGAGCGGACAGCCGGACAGCGCCAGCCGGCTCGTCGCTCTGTCTCTCTCGCCCCCATCCGGGCCGCGCGGCAGGGGTGCGAGAGAGACAGAGAGCGAAGGCGGTTCGGAAAAGGACTCCAGCAGCAGCGCTCCGACTGACGTCTTTGTCTCCACGGTGAAGGGCCTGCAGGACCAGGAGGCTGATTCCGGACAGTGCATCCGTCGCCGTCTCTCTCGCACTCGTGGAGCGGCCCGTGGCGGTGCGAGAGAGACGGCACTCTTCGGAATGAGCCTCAGGAGGAAGAGGAAACACAAGATAGAGTTGACCTGTGACGGCCGGGCTGGCCTGGGCTGCACGGTTGATAGGAGACTCCCCTTCCCTTCCTCGCGGCGCTGCACGGCGCTGCACGCGAGAGGGCCGCATCTTCCGAATCACACATCATAATCTCATTTATCATCTTTCGCGCACGCGCACTTCTCGGCACTCGGAAGACGCGGCGCCCGGAGCGCTCCGGGGCCCGGCCCGTGGCGCGGCCGTCGCTCTGTCTCTCTCGCTCGCGTGCCGGGGCGCCGCAGGACCGCGAGCGAGACGGAGCGACGCTGGCCCCGGACTCATCCCGGACCCCAGCTGGGCCGCGAACGCCGCGAGGACGGACCAGGACGGACCGGTACGGGTGCCGGCCGTGCCGGGTTGGATAATTGCCGAGGGTAACTTGCACAACACGAGGCGAGCTCGCACTGATTACCGGGTATCGCCAGCGCGGCAACGCGCGCCAACTATCCGTCACGGAAAGAAAGAAATGACACCGGCGCTACTCCACGCTCTCAGCGCGTCCAAGAAGACGGACCCTCGCGGCTGGAGTAGCGACGACGCTGCGACTGAGTACGGCGTGCTCCCCGTTTGCACAACAGCCCTCCCACACGGGGCGGTGCGTCGGCGTGGCGGTGCTGTCTGGATCTCTGGAACGGACAGGTACTCAAAGTCAATGCCGCGGGTTGCGGGTTCAAACACCCACAGGCTACACCTTTTTTCTGGCGTCGTCCATGACGCACCGGGGCAGCGCCTCGCAGATCCAACAGCATGTGGGCTCACTGCCCTCCTGTCCGTCCGTCCGTCTGTCTGTCCGTCTGCCTGTCCGCCCGCCCGTCCGTCCGCCGCGGCCTCCGCCCTTCCCCGTAACCCTTTCCGTTCCGCCTGCCGTATGGGCCGCTACGCCCCGCCACCGCCGCGCCGGCCGGCCGTGTGGTGGCTGGCTGCTGGCTGGCTGGCTGGCTGGCTGGCTGCGTCCGAGAGGGTCGCTCCTCTGCGTCGCGCTGCCCGCCCACCGGGGCCGCCGCGGCGACGCCGCCACGCCTCGGACGCGTCCCGAAGTGGCTCCGTCGTGAGGGGCATGGCCTGCCGCATGGCCGGGGAGGGGCGGAGCGGAGCGGGCCGGGGCGTCCGTCTGGCCGTGCCTGCCGCGGTGCCGCGGTGCGAGCTGCGAGCCTCGGGGCGCGGCGGCGCGGCGTTCAGTGCTCTGCCGGAGCAGGCCGAGGAGGGACGTCGCGACGCTCCGCGCATGCCGCGCCCACCGCGTCTCCGCATACATCGCGCCGCGGCGCCGTGCCGCCCAGTGCCGTGACCGTCACGCGTGCGCGTGTGTGAGTGCGTGTCTGTGTGAGTGCAGTGCGACCGGCTGGTGCCCGCAGCCTAGTGATACTCTTGGTTGGATTGACGGCGCCTGCTTCTTGCTCCTGGTGTTGCTCCTGCTGCTCTTGCGGTGCAGTACGGCTACCGGCAACAGCGCGGCCCCCGCCCGCCGGCCCGGCCCAGCCCGGCCAGGATATAACCTTGGAGTGCCACGGTCAATGCTCGGTACGGTGTAATATCTCACATTATTCAGCAGGAGGCCCGCACCCCCGCACCGCGGCCTGCACCGCGGCCCGCACCGCCGTGCACTCCACACACGCAGCGCGCAGCCTGCGCAGCCAGCCTAGCGGAATGCCGATCGCCTCTCCAGCTTTGCGTTTCAAACTCGCCGTCTGTCCTTGTTGCTCTCGCTGGACGGCCGCCCACGGCATTGCTGCGGCATGCGGCCCATGCGGGGCACCTGTCGTGTATCGTTTGTTTATTTTCTGTCGCTATCACCGGGACGCCTCCGCGTTGTCAATGGGCTTATCCGGACAGTGCCGCGCCCTCTCTCTCGCACCCCTCGCTGCACGCCCCGCGAGTGGGAGAGAGACAGAGCGACGCGGCGACACCCCTGATAACGCGGACGCCGGGCCCAGGCCGGGCCCGCCTACAAAGTATACAAAGTACACCTAGGGCGCCACGGCTGCGGCACGGCTGCACCTCCTTCGCCTGGAGGAAGCGCTTCTAATTAGACGGGATGGACGGCCCGGTATTCGGAAAGGCTTTTAGCCGCCAAATACAACGAGACGGAACAAAAAGACCGAGACACGAAATTAAAAACAAGAGTACCGACCTGCCCGACCCGAGGAATAAACAAGGATGACTGTCCGTAGACAGGTTGAGTAATATCTTCTTTTTGCCGGAGGAAACCAAGGAACCCGTCGGGGCTCGAACCCAGGGCCTTGGGGCGACAGTCCACGCCTTAAACCACCCGGCTATCGCTGTTCTTTGTTGTGTGGCGCCGCCGGTGTGACCTGGCCGCGCCCCGTCCTCGTTTAATTCGATAACTGTCCGCCACGTCGTCGCCGAGTGACCGACACCGGTTGGAAAAACGTTACTTTCTAACCCCCATTCCCCATTGTCTGTCGGATGACGGGTCTCATTAAATTACGAATTACGCCGCGTTCTGCACACACGTTTTCTCGCACATTATTCTCATTTTGTAATTGGAGACACGATTAGCCGCAATTAAGCGCGATTGGGAGGCTGCGAAACGGCGGCCGGCCCTCTGCCCTCCCGGCCCTCGCCTGGCACGGCCCCCACCTCGGCCCCCACGGCCCCACGGCACGGCAGGACACGTCTTGATAATGAAGGGTCCTTCCTGATTGGCCCCAAATGACGGACCTTCCAGTCCGCTGGCCGCGCTGCGCTCGTTGAGGACGGCCAACAAGAATGTGTTCCTGTTGCGCGGGCACACTCACACACTCTCGCACACACGCGGCCGAGACAGATACTACACAGCGAGGGACAGACATACAAATTTGGACCCTCAGCTTGGCGGCAGAACGACAACCGCCAAACGAGAGTCATCGGTATTCGAACCCAGGCGCTCGCTCGCGGGACGGCGGGACGGCGGGACGGCGCGGGACGCAGCCGAGAGCACGGCGACGTTGTTGTTGGCGTCCGTGCCAGCCGCGCCAGCCGCGCCGAGAGGAGGCCGTCGAGGATGAGGGCAGCAACGTCTTCCCCCTGCCAACCGGCCGCCCCGCCGCCCCCATCCCACCGGCCGCACTCACACACACACGCACACACGCAGAGGATATCCGGCGGGAATAAGCCGATGCGGGGGGATGGATTTTGATAGGGGAGGGGAGGGGAGGTTGGCCTGCCTGTCTTCAGCCCGCAGCGCGCCAGCGCCCTGATGAGCGAATCAATTGCCGCACTTCGGGACCCCTTCGAACCAGTTCGCTCCGTCTCTCTCGCACTCACGGTGCGCCCCGTGCAGGTGGGAGGGAGACGGAACGACGAAACAACGCTGTCTGTCCCTCCCGCGACTCAACTTTTGCTCTCACGACGTGGGACATCGCGCGGCACCGGAGCATGGTAGCCCTACGTGTTTTCAAGCGAGATTTGTTTCTGAACCACCGAGAAAATGTTACTAAGTTTGACAATGTTGAACGGAGGAAACGGCGCGCGCGGACTTTGAGCCCAGCATAGGGCAGCGGGTCGCCGTCCAGGTCGCCGTCCTCGCGGTGCGGGTGGTCTCGGGGTGGTCACTCCGCGTCGCCTTATTCGCACGCCATGCGTCGCTATGCGCACGCAGCCCTCGGCGAAAGGCGCCAACCCCGCGCCTTATTTACAGGGGCCCAGTGCGTGCACTACACTGCGCGCCGGTCCACTGCCCTCGATACGCCGCGACACTGGCGCCAGAAGCCATTATTTGCAGGTGCCGGTATTTAAGGGCTGAGTCCAGCCCCGACGCCCAGTGGGCCAGAAGACCGGCGCCGGCGGCCAAAACTCCAAACGCGTTTTGAGCTCCAGAGGCGCTGAACAGGACTCGAACCGAACGAGTGACCCCACCAATGGATTCCTCGTCCGTAGAGCAGTCCATTGGTGGGGTCACACGTTTGGTTTGAGCCCCATTCAGCGACTCCGGGGCTGAAAATCCGTCCGGGATTTTGTCCGCCTCCACCAGTCTTCTGGTCCACTGTGCGACGGCCCCGGCAAGGAGGTTGTCTCGAGGGCCTCCCTCTGGGGCTTCGATTTCGACGGTCCGATTTCAATCTTTTCCAGCGGTGTGTTGCGAAGCGCGAAGCCGAGCGGCCAAGCCTGCGGCTGCACGATAAAGCCCGCCGCCAAGCGCCGCCAAGCGCCGCCAAGGGTCAAATCAGAGAAATAATTGGGGCTTAAATCAAGCGCCGGCCATTATTGGCAGGTCACGTTCAAAATCCCTCGGCCAGACCGCCAGGCTGCCGACGGCCGGGCCGTTCGAAAAGGGGACGGGGCCCTCGGGGCGGACGGCGAAGTCGTCGAAGTCGTCGAAGACACGGACTCTGCCGAACAGAGCTCGGCCTTTCATTTGCGACGCGTGTTGCGCTAATAGCGATTATCACTCACTGGGTGCGTTCCGTCCTGATAAGTTCTTGGAAAAGCGCGGGGCCGCGCGGACGGACGGACGGACGGACGGACGGACGCACGGACGGACAGTTTTGCGCCAGAAGAAAGCAGAGTTTGATTGGCTTTGTGTAGCTTTTTTCGCTGCATCGCGCCGAGAGAAAGGATGGACTGGACGTGTGGCTTAGTAATGCGGTGCGCGACTGTACAGAGAAAATTACGAAAGGCCGTGCAGTCTCCACCGCCTTGCGCGCCGCCAGCGATTAATGCAACGGTTAATTTGACTTTTCACTTTTATGAAAGAAATGCAAGCGGCGCGGCTTGTACGTCAACACGCACGCGCAAAAACACACACACACGCACTCAGGAAGGCTGCATTACCCGATGCTGTCACCGCGCCACTTTTCCCCTCTTTTTCGCATGTATAAAATTTCTGTTTGTTTTTGTGTTTTCTTTATTATGCTTGGTTCGCCCACGCTTTGGCACGAGTATCGCGTTTCCTCATTTGAATTGCAGCGGGCTCGGCCGGCAATGCCCTGGCCTGTGGCCTGGCCCGCGTGGAGGGGCTCAGACGGCTCGGACTGCCAGGGCGAGAGAGAGGGAGGGAACAATGTAAATAGTGGGTGCCGATTTGCGGTTCAGACGCAGCCTTGTGACGCGCCACCTGGCGGTGCTGCTCTGCGCCGCTCTGCGCTCTCGTAATAGGACTCCAAGTAAGACAAAGGTGTACAAAAGTACACTGCGAAAAAAGAGGGCACAAAACTGCGGCGCGATTTCAACTTCCATCAACGTGCGCGCTCTCTCTCTCAGCCAGCCCATTTGTATTTATGTCAGGGGTACCCATTATTGGTTTGACAGTGACCCTTCGCTTTGTCGTGTCCCCTCCGGCTTATATGAGTTGTGCGCTTTTTTGCCGGCGCGCGTGTGGCCAGCCTGTCGCTAGCCCGGTTTAATTGCGCGCCATTGGCGGCACGGCCGCACCTAACCTAACTTCCATTCCGTTTCCCGGCCCTTTTTTATCCACCTTATCGAGTCTCTTTCAATTAGCGAACTTCATAGTCGCGTTTAATGCCAGTGAAAGGGGGACGGAAAGGGAAGGGGCGAATTGATAGTTTTGGCCTGCACCTGCTTGCCAGGCCACGCCATGCAATGCAGCCATGCAATGCAGCCATGCATCCAACCGGATGCAGACCGCGGATTTACGCCATCATTCCACGCAGGTACATATTTGGTGTACTTTTTTCTGCGTTTCAAAACAAGACTCCTCCAACTTCTTAACCCTTTTTTTTCGTGTGCTGAATGCCGGTGCTGTGTCACTCCTTGTTGTGGGTAGTGGAGTGGTCTTGCGTTTGGGTCGAGCGCCAATCGGTTTCCTTTGAGACCGTGCCGTGTCGTGCCTCGCCGTGCCGTGCGGTCAAGGCGACGACCCCCTCTCCCCCTCCACACCTCGGTCCTCTCACTCTCGCTCCACTTCAAACGGACCGGAGGACATTTATCACTGGCTGAGGCTGGGTGGGACTGCTCTGCAGCTCTGCACGCGTGCGCGATGGCTTTGGCGCGGCAACAACAACAACAACAACAACAACAACAAATGGAAATGCAACAGTTTGACGTCCGCGCGCGATTACGGGCGCCCTTCTCGTCCAAAGCGTTGTCTCGGGAGAGTGGCGGGCAAGCGGCCAGTTCCGCGGGATGAAAGAATCTTAGTCGAAAAACAGGAACAACGAAAACTAAATGGAAACGTCCGGAGGCGAACCCACGACCCTCGCCGCCGCAGTCGAGTGCGTTACCGACTCGGACACTGGGCAGGGTAACGATAACGAGTTCCATTATTTCCAGAGCGCGGCCAGCGAGTGCAGCCTGCTCGCTGATTCGTTCAATTTGCTTCCATTGACACGACTGGCTGCTCCTTCCGGTGGCAATTTGAATTCCCCCTCCCCCTCCCCCGGCGCGGCGCCCCGCCAGCAAGGCGCTCCGTGGATCCCGTGAGAACGGCACGCTGTGGCGGGCACGGGGGCCAGCCTCGTCGCTTTGCCTGCTCTGCCTCTCTCGCACCCCAAGGGGGCCAGCACACTGCCAGCACACCGCCAGCCCGGCCCGTGAGTGCGAGGGAGACGGAGTGACGCACG